TTTTTTTTTTTTTCGTTAAAGAGAAATTCTTTCATTGTGAGGTCAACTTCACATGGGTTTTTTTTGTTTGTTTCTGGTATTTTCATTACCTTTATTCATTTATTTTTTTTTTTAGGTTAACTTATTCTAATCCTCACACAAGCCTGGGAAGTGTGTATTATTCTTATTTCCACTTTGCAATCAAAAAGAAAGACCTAGGGAGGTTAAGTAACTTACCGAAGGTCACACAGCTAGTAAGTGGCAAGGTCCGAGTACACAGATCGGTGGTCTGGCCCCGGGGCCAGTAGTCTCTCCCACAGTGCCATGCTGTGCTTGACGGTGCCTCCACAGCAGCTGCAACATAACAGGCACTCAATAAATGGTCATTGAATTTGAGCCATCTCTAAAAATGTCTCTCTCTGTTCTGGGCTACTCTAGAGATCATCTGAAAGAGGGAAGGACTGCATTAGTCTCCTCCGACAGCGTCATCCTCCAGATAAAAGCTGTCACTTGGGAATGTTGAGAAGGCACAATGAAAAAAATGTCCTAGCTAGAAGGGTACTGGGAGGTCAGCTCATCTATTTCAGAGCCAGAAGGGCATTCGTTCCTTGAAAGCTGCCCTTCTCCACACCCTCATTACCTTCTCCAGGCCACACTGTCCTTCCTGCAGGTAGAGGTGATATACTCCTGCCTCCCACTTCTGGTTCCCCAGATCTCTGGGCCCTGGAGCTGGCCATGGCCAGAGCTCACCCAAAGCCCTCTTGACCCTGCACTGTTACCACAGTCACAGAACAAGGAGGAATCCCGTGTAAGAGGTGGGTAGGTGTGAGTGAGGTAGGTGACTGAGGTGGAGAATGAACATAAATCAGAGAAGAAACCTGGAAGAAATTGGGAATGGAGGGAGCCTATGGTTTCAGTGCCTTTCATTTCTCCTGGCAAGTGGCAGGTCAAATCTGTCTCCTGCATCTCATTCTCCATGCTGAGTTTGCATATAACTGAAATGAGTTGCTCAATGCAACTCAGTTTTTTTCATTTCCATATACTATCCTTGCATCCAGAGCCCCTCTGTATAGTGTGTTAAGGAATGCAAATTAGAGGCAAAAGTGACTGTGCCAAGCCTGATGGGCTTTCTGTGGAAAAGTCACAAGTTCCCTGGGTCACAGCTTCTGCATCTGTAAAATGGGTTGGCCTGGATGACCTCCAAGGTGCCCATGTATGGTCACATTTGATGACTCAGTTCCCAGGTCACAGGACGCTCCGGCAGTAGTTGCTTGGTTTAAAAATCCATCATTTCTCTGGCTGCAATAAGTAGCCCCACGGAGGGGGTCGGGGGACACTGTCTATCTTCCCTCAATAGTCCTAGCCTTACAATCCACACTGGTTTTTCACACGACCGCCAACTTTCAGCTAATTTGTCTTCTAGAACTCCATGCATGCAGTTGGTGTTCAGGATGAATTTTGTGAACTGACTCTAACTTAGAGCGATGGATTGTGTGCGTCCCTGCCCCCTAGTACAGCTGCAAGAGCACTGAGGTGGTCGGTCAGCCGTGCACTTGCAGGGTACTCTCCTGGGAAGGTTACCTGGGCTCCTGGACTCGAAGCTGCCCTGACTTTGGACAACTGCCTAGTGGTATGGCTTGTTCCAGTGGGAGCAGAAAGCTCGTTTCACAGTTAAAATGGCCACATAAACTCAGGGTCTGCAGAGATGAAGAGCGGACCCAAAAGTGGAGACATCAACTTCTAAGACATGGAAAAACATGGGAAAAAAAATAGCAAGGGAGACATCTGCCCCTTTTGCACACAGTAACTTCTGTATTCTTTCTACCTGAGAGTGGAGCCCAGAAGACGTGACTCTGAGGCCCTGGGAACCAGAGGAGTAGAGGCCCACATGCTTGCCTGGATGTCAAGAGCCTGTCAGCAGGGCCCACCTGGGACCCCAGGCTGAGGGTAGCAGACTTGGTTCCCACGTGGCGAGGGAGGAGGGCTGTGTGGCCATGAGGGCGCCTAAGGCATGAGGGCGCAGGGCATGTCTTTCTCCTATCCCCTTGCCTTGCCTGAACCCCAGATTCCAATTTGCCTCCTCACAGATGGATCCATATCCCTGCCTCCCTGTACTCCTTACTGAGGGACTGGGGTGATGAATGGGGGGCTGTGGAGTAACGCTTCCTAGGGAAACCCAGGGAGCCTCACTCCACTCCCAGCTGCCAGCATCATGCCTCCTCAGATGCTCTCTCGTCCTCCTACAGCTTCCTTCCAGCAGCCCCCACCCCCTCACCCCCAGGACCTCTCAGCACCTGGAAGGCTTCGCCACTGTAGGGGCTGAGATCTGGGCCTCTCGCGGGGCATGTTCAAGTTACAGATGGCCTTGCTTCCGGATGCAAGATGTTCATAAGTGCCCAGCCCAAGGCCACAGAGGTATTGTGGGGATTCATATGCACCTGTTTCCCAGATACAGAGCTTCCCTCCCAGGGAGCCAAACCCGGCCTGCCTTCAGATAAGAACATCCTCCCCCCCACCAAGCCAGAGGCCACTTCCAGGGGGCCACAATAGCAGTCACCCCCCGCCCAGGACACAGAGTTGCCCATTGGCCTGGATGCCAAGAGACCCATTCCCAGGGTGTGGGGGACCCATCTCTATGACATGGGCCAGGATAGACGGGGAACCCTGTGTGCCTCTAGTATCTCCAGCAGGCAGGAGATCAACCCCCATCTGTAGGCTCCCGAGATGCCCACACCCCAGCACTGCCTTCGGGATACCTGGGAGCCCATTCCTTGACAAAACTGCCCACCAGAAGGTGGGGTGGGCTGGTGCTTGGGATGGAGAGCCCCCCTTATGCAGGCTGCCTCGGCCCTTACCCCCAGGCCCTGGGTCTGGCCCCCGCTCTTGGCCTAGTCGGCAACCCCTACCTTTGCTGGGCAGCTCCCGGCTCCCATGTGATAGCTGCTCTCAGCTGATGCTTCTCCAAGGCTGCTGAAGCCTGAACCACTGCAGTGAGCGGTGAGAGGCTGCCGGCAGAGCAAGATGCTCCGATAGCTTCTGGGTCCTAACGGCCTCCTGCTTCTCACCCAGCCCCTCAGAGCCACTCCTGAGCAGAGAGTGGGCACAGCACCCCCAGGCACTTCTCTCAGGCTTATAGAGTGGCATCTCCGAGCCCTAGGGGGGGGCATGTGGTGGCAGGCGGGGGAGACCCTCCGGGCCAGCCTGCTGAAGGAAAAAAGAGCACTCAGAGTCGGAACAGCCAGGCCTGGCTCTGGCACTTACTAGTTGCGTGACCTTGGGCAAGTCACTTCCCATTTCTCACCTTGGCTTTGAATTGTTCAAAGGGAGCATAGGATAGATGATCCTTGAGATAGCCCTGACAGCCCTTGCATGGTTCTGTACCCCACCAGAACCAAGACGCTTTCTGAGCAGCTGGTGCCAGGGAGACACAGGGCTGCAGATTAGGCCTGGCAGGGCTGAAGCCCTAGGGGATGATCCAAGGTGTGGCTCCTTCAGAAGCTGCTGAATGTGTGTGGAGAACAGGAGTAATGGCAGTTATTTTTGAAGAGGGGCTTAAATGAACCCTCATTCTTACCCCTCAAAAAAAGTTGTCTTAGGGGGTTTGTTGATCTGTTTATCTGGCATGGGGCTGAGAGCTGATGGTGCGGGGGTATCTAAGCTCTCCAGGAGCCCCAGTTGGCACCCCCGGAACCCTGCCCCTTCAGGCAGAGAGGAGCCAGCTTTTCCTTGGGAAAGCTCAGAATGGCGTGGACTTGTGGGCCTGGGCAGAGCCGAGAACACAGTCCACGGAGGATCCCAGCCACGTGCCATGCCAGGATCCCAGCCACGTGCCATGCCAGGCGCTGAGTGAGCCCCATAGCTTCCCTCAAACTCTGGGGTTCTCCCTGGGTATAGACTGACGCCCAAGGACAGGATCCTAACGACATAGATAGAGCTGTAGGACACCCCATGCAGCTCACGACACCCCTGTTTCTGAGACCCAGAGACATGAAGAGGTGTCCCAGGACACATCTGGCAGGGCCAGGAGCCTTGACCTGATGGCGCCATCTAGGCCTGATGGCGGCTGCAGCGCCCCACGTCTCTCCAGAAACCCCATCTCCAAAAGGGGAGGGAGGGAACCAGAATGATTTGCCAGGCCCAGCCAAAGAGCCAGGACAGAGAATTGCCTGGGGCACTCAGGGTGACTGGCAAAGAGGCTGCAGACTGGCCCAGAACTGCCCCCGTGACCTCTGCCAACTCTGACCCTTATATATGCGCCTTCTTCCACCCTCTCAGCTGTTCTGGGAGAGAACCCTCTACTCCCCTCCCCATTGTACAGGTGAGGAAACAGAGCTCAGAGGTTAAGGGGCTTCCCCCAAGTCACCAACAAGTATTTGGCCCCCACACCCTTGCAGGCCTGACGGGAGATCCTGGGCTGAAGTCCCAAAACCAATTCCACTAAAGATGCCACTGCTTCCAAAAAGCAGCCTAAAAAACTAGACCTTCCTGAGTACAGGGAACTAAAATTAAAATCTCACATTAAAACTCCTCAATGGCAAAGTGATTTTTTTCGGCCTTGTGCTGCTACATTAGCAAGATCACCTTGGCCACATCAAACCCCCACGTCAGTCAGGTAAAGCCTGTTCCTCGACAGCACCTACCTCCTCCCTTCAGGGCCCAGCCCAGGCTGATGGCAGGGCCCCTTCTTGGGGCTCCAGAAAGAACCACAGCAAACCAGGGCCATCGAGAGGGCACTGGCTTGGCCAGAAAGCTGTGGCTGTAGCTGAGCTCGACTCCAGTGGTAGTGAGACTTGGGCTGTGAATCGCCATCTGGGCCTTGGTTTTTCTAGCTATAAAATGGGCAAAATTCTTCACGCTTCAGCTTACCGTATAAGGCTAAGGAACCTCTAACACAAAGGTAGCATCTCAGGTTTGGGGGAGCTGGTCCAGGTATCCTGGCTGGTCAGACAATGCATACAGCAGGCAATTCTCCAGGTCTCAAGGCCCCTCCCAGAGCGTCTGCTCAGTTGCTGGAAGCCATCTTGGCATGGGAGAGAGAGGGAGGAGGAAAAACCACCTGCCTGGCCCGGCCCAGCCCAGAGGCAGATGATGATGATGATGATGGTACTAAGGGCCTACTTTGGGAAGATACTTCTTAGGCTGTATTTCATTAAATTATATCAATCAGAGTTTGGACTAACTCCTGACAGGAGTTGCCACTGCCTTCCCTAAAACAGCCTAAAAGAACTAGCTATGCCTGAGTATAGGGACTAACAGAGTGTGGGCTAAGCAGCCTTTGCCCCAGCCCGCCCATCCTCCCTAGAGCTCAGCTGGCAGACATGGGGAGACCACGGCGGGGGGGGCACTGAGCTGGTTCCACAAACCACGTCAGAGATCCGTGGCTCACCATGCTGTACACAGCCAGGAGGGGGCTCCTAGGACAGGTGGGGGGTTGCGGACCCCTTTGTCAGTAGCATAGTGGAAGCAGTGCCGAGGACTGCTTCCCTGTGCCACACCTGCTCCCCGCCCTTGCCACCAGCGTCTTTTGACATAGTTGTGTCCTCGCCCCACTTTCCTGCCTCCTCAACCGAGACCTTGAAGCTGACCACGTTTATATTCCATCCATCCACCCATTTGTTCATAACGGGCTCTCGGGTGCTTTTCCTGGGCCCAGGGCTCTCTGTGGGTACCCCCTGGCCTGCTCAGTGCTCCCGCCAGCTCCTTCTCTGCCCCTATGGATGCTGCTCTCAGGAAAGAGGCTGATAAATCCATTCACACTGATGCAGTTTAACGTGTTCTCGCTCCCAGGAATATTAACAATTTAACAGGGAACAAAGAGAAGAAGCTAAACGTGGGGTTCCAGCATCAATCAGGGGTGTCCCTGTGATCCCGTAACTGTGGACTGTTCAGCCTCACACGTTCCCTTTGCACCCCCTGCATCTGTGTGGATACCCCAACCTTCCCCAGGTGGAAAGCAGGCTCACAGCTGGGGCCTCCCCCCCCCCCCCGAAATCTTGGCTCCCCCATGTCCGGAGTCCCCTTGCCAGCACCAGCCGGGCATGCTCCCTGGCTCCCACCCCACCCCCATCACCTGGGGGAAGGCTGAGAGACTGAGGAGGGAGACAGAGGAAGGCAGAGGTGAGCGCCTTCCCATTCTCTATTCCCCCACAGTCTGGCCTACACCCCCTGCCAGGAGCCAAGATCCAACGGTATATTCAGCCTGCAGCTGCCACTGGTCATGTGAGCCCATTGCTAGGTTACAGGGACCCAAAAATAAATCCTTCCCAACCAGATTAGAAACTGGGGGCCTCGGATGAACCAGGCTCAAAAGAGCGGCAGAACACCCACAGTGCATGTGCAAGCCACGCCTGCGATGAGGTCAGGGAGCCTTCCTCAGGCTGCCCACCCCGCCCTCTTTAGCTGGGGCTCCGTGATGGACCCCAAGGAAGAAGTGCCTAGAGGGCGCCCAGCCCTGACAACTGCAGGATAAATAGGTCTGAGACCAGTGGCCTTTCGTCACCAGCACTCAGGGATCCTGGACAGTAACCCCTCTGCCTGTTCTTCCCATCACCAGCCTGCCCCACCCACGGCCTTGTCCCACCCCCAGTGCACCACAAGGTACCATTAACCACTTGCCCAGTGGCCTCCCGGGCCATCTGTACCAATTGTCTTTTCTGGACTCAGGCAAGAAGATCCACTGTGGAGACAGTGCTGGCCGCTCTCACAAGAGTAAGTCCCCAGCATAATTCTCAGTTAGTTTCAACAGCTCCATTTACAGATGTGGAAACTGGGGCTCAGAGAGGTTAAGTGTCTTTCTTAGAGTCACACAGCTGAGGTATTGTGATTCAAATCCCATATTTGGGATTCAGTCTGGGCATGAGGCAAGGAAGGGAAGCACAACGAAGGAAAGGAAGTCCCCAAAACCCCTTCCCTGGGGGGCCTGCTAACTGGGCACCTTACTTACTCTGAATCAGGGGCCTTGTCTCCCCGCCACCTTCCTCCACATGCTCTGATCCAGGCCACAGCTTCCCCAGGCCACATGCCTCCTTCTTTGTGACTTTGGGCTCTCTTACCAGGTTCACACCTGGTGGTCAGGCTAGAGGGGTGCGCACACAAATACCCACTGACTGGAACCTCTGTCCATGGGAATCTCAACATAGAGTCAGAACAGCAGAGCTGAAATGATAGCTGTCTTCCAGCTGAGTAGGCCCAGAGAGGGGAATTAACTTGGTCAAGGCTACACAGCTAGGAGCTCCCACTCCTTTTCTGCCCATCACCAAGGATGTGGCTAGCCCATCAGACCTAGTTGCTGGGCCACCACAGACCCCAGCACTTAGTGTCTTTCCTCGACCCTACCACCTCCCCTGGGCCCTCCCTGCCACCTGTTCTCTTCAGCAAAGTGATCTTGCTCCCCAGTAAGGTTCTGAGGCCAGAACCTTGTCCACATGTGGGTCCTTGTATCCCCCTTCTGAATACTCTCCAGGAGCCCCTGGAAGCCTCAGATATCCTATTCCTACCTCCTTCAGCTCCCAGCAGCCCAAACTGCACACAGCATTTCCCTCAGCTCTGGAAATGCTTATTGCACATGGGCTATCTGCAAAGTTCTGTATGGAGTGTGAGAGAGGGATACAGAGATGAAACAAACACAACCTTTGCCCTCCTGGTGCTCGGGGCATAAGGTGGAGACAAAGCATGCTGTAAGTTTCAAGGGAGAGTCAAATTACTGTGGTGAGTCAAAGAAAAAGTGAATCTGCTCCCTTAGGAAATCTGGGAAGGCTTCCTGAAGGAAGTGGCATGGGTATTAAAGGAGGGAAAGGATTTTTTTTTTAAAGATTTATTTATTTATTCGTACAGAACTGGGGTACAGGCCAGAGATGCGGAGGGTGAGAGGATTCACCAGAGACAGAGCGGGGAGCAGAACAGGCAGATGGACGAAGTACACTGCTGAGGGGAGCAGCAGGCGGGTCAGGAGAGGTCTGCCTCGCCATGTGGT